CGCTATTAGTGGTGCACATGGACACCCCGGGGAGGACCGCTATCAGTGATGCACATGGACACCCACAGGAGGACCTGGGAGTAAACGTTTCATACCCGAAAGTTGAGACCACTGACCCCTTCCCTGGGAAAGTGGAGGGCAGTACAGTATGTCTGGGCAGAGTTTTAAACGATGGGGAATTCTCCAGGTTGGGGATAAGGTGAAGGCTAGAATGGGTAGAGTGAGATGGGAGGATAAGTCCTGGGAGAACTTGGCCAGGTCAAGAGAAGGCCCATATCGACAGTAGGGAAGAGGCCTGGCAGCAAAGGAGGATGGAAGGTCTTAAAACTCAGGACCCAAGAGCCCCAAAAAGCACTCTAGTGTTTGAGTGTTATGGGGAGCCGCTGGACATGATAAAGTGGGGTAGAAGCTGGCTTCATTGCTCTGTTTTGTTATAGAAATGTAGTCTCAAAGTAAAGATCATAACCAGAAATAAAGAAAATATAGATCTGCTTGAGCAGAGTTGAAGGATATGTCCTCGTATTGCAGACAAAGTAATTACAAAAATGTAGGTTGATATGAAGGGTCACAGAGTCTCAGAGATAAGAGGCCCAAGGGTTAGGGCCAACTGAAATCTCTTCTCTTGACCCTCCTTGATTAATTTGGATTTTCTGGCCACATTTGCAGCGTGCCTCAAAACACAAAAGTGCAGAAGAGCCAGCCTATCTGTGAGGTCCCTGCACAGCTCAGTGAGCACCCAGCAGCCACAGCCCAGGCCTCCCTGTTAATGCTCGGAGATGCTGCCCCCACCGTTCCAATCCTTCCCTACTCCCGGTTCCTCTCCTCTTCAGCAGGGTCCCTCTCCACTCTCTGTGTCTCCCTTGCCCTCCTGTATTAATTGCTGAGGTTCCAAGCCCTGGGAAGCTGTGGTTAACAAAAGCTTAGCCCCTTTTACAGGAGGAGTAATGAAAAAAGGAGAGATTTTTGTTTTTGAGGCAGATGAAAGAAAGCCCAAGGAAATGTGTGTTTGACCCCCCAACATGCTTCTTCAAGCTTCCTTCTGCACTTCTTAAAGGCACCTCCAAAGAAAGGCTTTATGAATGCAAAATGAAGTCAGTGCCTGTGTCTGCTCCAGAAGAAAGGAAGGCAGGGCTTTTATATACAATGTTTCCTTTATGGCTCACGCTGATCCCAGTGCCCAGTGCTGCAGCTCAACTTCAGAGGTCTTCCTGACCTTCTCAAGGTCACTCCACTCTGCAGTCCCCCTGTGCCTCTCCCGGGGACCAGCAGCGATGCTGAAAGGGCCAGGTTTTGTTTTCTGTTTCTTCTCTCTCATAGTGGAGTCCTTGCCCAGGGGCAGAAACACCTGAAGTTCCCAGCAGGGCAGTCCCAGTAGGTGTCTGTAGGAACTTCTGCAACACTTCATGGAGGGAAGGGAACTCGAAGGCTGTCTAACCAACCTCGTCTAGCCTACCTCATATACCTGGGAAGTGGCCAGCCAGAGAAGCATGCATGAGAACTCAGTGTGGACAGGTCAGTAGCCAGTCTCAGCCTCCATGACACAAGGCCCTCCTTTCATTTCAAGTGGCCTTTGCTGCTAACTCTCAGTTGTGTTCCAAGTTAGTATTCAGCCATACACCTGGCTGTTAGCGGCTTCCAGACAAAAGTGATTTCTGTCATAGCTTGCTTGTCTCCAGTTGGTAGAGACGATGCCCCTCCCTTGGATGCCCTGACAGTTTTGGAAGGTACAGAATAATGTCTCAGTCACTCCTGTCTGCTAGCTTTCCTGGCTGGCCCTGTTTTGCACATGAGTGGTACCTGTCACATCCCTCCCCCGCCCCAAACCCAGTTTCTGAGTACAGCAGAGGGACCTGCTTTGGGACCATGCTTCCATGCTCTCATTGGAGTAAACTGTCTATTAACAGACTTGCCTTCCCACCCTTAACAAAGAAAGACCTGGCTATTTAGGCTGATATGTGCTGTCTGAGAAGCAGGAGGGATTTATTAGAGGCTGAAAAAAATAGTTACTAAAAAACGTGTGCTCCAGTTAAAATCTTTCTGTGCCCAAAGCCTGGAAAAAACACATTTCCTATGGACACCCAGGTTTCTCATCTGTAAAATGGAAACAATGTTATTTTATATCTCATGTAATTTATAACGGCCTACCAATAAATGTTCAATATCTAGCAATTTTATTTTTCCATAGGGAGAGGGACAAAATTCAAATTTTACCAGGGATGATCTATATCTATCTATCTGTATACATGTATGCATATATGCATGTATATAATATTTTTATTACTCCTTCAAAAATTTCATATAGAGCATGGCCAACCTACCAGAGACCAAAGCATGGCCCATCTGCCAGAGACCAGAGCATGGCTAATCTCCCAGAGACCAGAGCATGGCCAACCTGCCAGAGAGCACATCCTTAAAGAAAATTGACTCTCCCTTGGACCTTGCCATCACCAGCTGTCAATAGCTCTTCAGCTAGAGGTGGGGACTGATGATTGCCCTGCCCTCATGCTAGAATGTTCACCGCTTGGTCTTGTGCAGGCAACCACAACTGTTGTGATTTCATGAGTCATCCCATCATGTCCAGAAGACAGTGTCTTTACCCGGGTTCTTCCTGACCTCTGGCTCTTACAAACTTTCTGCCCCACCTTTCCTGATGTTCTCAACAGGAATGAGTTTAACAACTTTAGGCATATAAATGTTACGTTTTTCAAGGCCCTGCCTAAACCCACTATCTTCTGGAAGCTTCACCCAGCATAGTGCTTCTCTTCACAGAGTTAATTGTCCTCCTTAGAAATTCCGGAATTTCACAATCACTTCACGCAAAGTGCTTACCACTTTCTCATGCATATGAGCATCTTATAGACAGGATAGGGGCTTGCTCATTTCAGTAAATATTTAGCAAAGGTGAACAAAAGGAAGATAGATATTTTTGTCTCCCTCCTGTAGTAGAAAAGAGTATTTCTAGGAGCCTGCTAGCCATTCTGGTGTGAGCCATCTCTTTCTATGTCCAAGGAACACAGAGTGACCTAATGATTGATGACTGGCTTTTAGTTTAGGGTAGGCCTGGAAATGCCCATTAAGGGGGGCATTGAGGCATTGCACATTAATCCTAAACATTTCCCCTTAAACCCAAATGAAATAACTAACTGTTGCATAATTCAATAAGAAACCTAGGCTGGGGGCCACTCTCCTTTTGGAGTAACCAGTGAGTAAGTACCATCCATGAAACTATTAAGTTAATTTAAAATCCTGACAATTTAGTGGCGCTCTGGCAAGATAAGACCCATTTATTAAAAGGCACAGTTCATTAACCCAGATGCTGCTGGCATGTTTGCTGGGAGAAAGGGGCGGGTCTAAACCTCATCAGAAGTCATCCTCTCTCCCTGCCCAGGAGCCAATTCAGTCCGGTATAACTGAGAAGTTCAAATTCCTGTGTTAATAAATGTCCCAGGAAGTGTTTCTGTGCACAGGATTTCTATTCCACAACCACCGTGCCCTGATCCTGGAAGATAACTGCACAGAATGGGAGTTAAGGCTGGGAGAGCGATGAAGCTGAGCTGAGAGCTGAGGGGGTTCTCAAAATTCTTTCCATCCTCCAACCCCACGGCCACTCTTCTTCCCGCACAGTGCCTCTTCTTGGCTGCCCTACCAATCTATGCGACTTCCCACACATACTTTACGCATCTCACTTCTGTCTTCAGTTACTGGACCACAGACTGGGCACTGCTAGGAAGCATTCCACAAGTGTACCATGGCGATGTCTTCCTGGGCACCGAATTAAGCTGTAGCATACCAACTGATGAGTAGAGGATGACACAAGATCTCAGGGCTGTCTTTAAACACCTCTCACCCTCTCACACATACTTTGGCCACATGACAAACCTGCTTGGAATGAAAACACTAACAATGAGATACACTGAGCCGCTGAGCTCTCTCTCTCTCTCTCTCTCTCTCTCTCTCTCTCACACACACACATACACACACACACACACACACACACACACACGCACACAAAATCCAGTTGTAAGCCTCCTCTAGAAACCCAGAGGCCACCCAAGCAAATGGTTAGGGGGAGTTCCCAGGCCTGTCTGGGATAAGAAAAAAAAAAAGATAGAAAACCAGTTCCAGCAGGAATGGCAGATTTGAGAGTTTGATCACTTAAAACATAAAATTCTATTTTATCTCATTAACAATAGAAAGTGAACTTCTCAACATGCAAAACTGCTTTAATAAACTTGAAAACAGACTCTACTGGAACCAAGTAACAACTAATGTTTGTCTGGGGACAGGGTCTTTATTTGGAGTTGCAGGGTTTGTGTTAGGAGTGGGGGTATCTTTGGAGCCACAGGATACAGAGTTAGTTATGCAAATACACCTGTGCATCTTCCTGGTGCATGCTGGGAGTCAAGAAAGAGCTTTGATCTGATTCTACAAGAGGCACTAAGTAAGGTTTCCCAGGTGGGAAGATATTTATTTGCATAAATTAGTTCATTTAATTCTCATAGTGGCCTAAAGAGAGAAAGATCTCCGGCCACTGTGAACATATACAACCAGAGGATGAAGCCTGAGGAACTGCTTTTCCCTACACAGAAGAGAAGTATGTTTCCTGCTTTAGAAGGCTCACTCTAGCTCTCACAGACACCACTTTCCAGAAACAAAGCATTCATGCCATGATGGAGGGGAGTGCTCTTTTATTCATAACTTCTGACAGTATGGAACCGCCTTCCCTACCCCTATAAACCAGGCACTACGTTGTTCTTAAAGGTAGGAAGATGATGGAAGCAATTCCCTTCCCTCCTGGATGGAGTTGGAAGAATCAACAATACAGCCAAACAAATATACCAGACAATTTCAGAAAGCAACAGGAAGTAACAATGGAAGACATGGTAGAAAAAGGCTTCAACTTTTTCCTTTTCACTTGAGACATTTTTACAAGATTCCAGCCTATAGGCACACACAAGAGGAATACAAATCAAACATTTACTGCTAATAAACAATGAAGAAATTTATTTTAAAACAATTCCTTGGTACACATATAATTTTACCATTTAATGAAGATGAAAGCTGATTTGCATAGTAATGAGATGGATTTGCTTGTTTATTTTTACACAAAGAATTAAATCTTGGCTGATTATTTTATACTGCAGAACAGACAGCATCTTCAACATGTTTCCAAATAGCTTAATATTTTGATTTCCTAATGGTCAATTTGCTGGGTATGCTGTGTTTCATAAACACAGGGTGCCAAACTGTAGAGGTATACTTAGGGCCATTTCAGAAATAGTTGGAGATTCTGTCCTAATCCCTATGCCAAACTTCATTTAATGATTTGTGTGTGTGTTTGTGTGAGACTTTAGTCAGTGACTCAAACAGCAATTTTATTAAAACTAAACATTCTCACAAATATAATCCATGCTTATATGCTGAGAAATGATGGTAGAAATATATTAAAAATCTGTTTTTCTGTAATTAAATCATGATGTTTTCATAAAAGCAGAATGCTTGGTGTGTGTAGTAGAAATACCTCAACTCACAGCAGACATTAGTCTCAAATCTGTTCAGAGATGTTTCATTCAGCCTTACTTGCTACTGCTGGGTGGAGTAGAATGTGCAGAGCAAAGCGTAGATACGGGTTCAGGACCAGGTCTGCACTGAAGCTGTGTGATGCAACAGGGACTGGCCCTTTCAGGATTCATGACTCCTGTGATTTGAATTAAACTCTATTAACTCAGTTCTGGAACCCCACAGTACAAGAAACAGGCAAAAGAGATAAATCTGTGCTCTGAATGGCAGAAAGCAGCCAGCACAGGAGGCTATGGCTGTCAGGGAGATCCAGGCAGAGTCAATAAATGAAATGGCTTCAGAGTAGGAACTAAAGTAGCAAATTTAGGAAACAGGAGGGACCAGTTTCTTGAGCAAAATCATGGAGAAATATGTCACAGTCTCTAAGAGGTAAGAGAAGGGAAAAAAAAAAACCAAAAAAACAAAAAATAAAGAAACTTGCAAGCTTTGGGACCACAGAGCAGGAACAGGATTTCACTATAAGAACTGGGTGGGCTGGGCGGTGGTGGCACACGCCTTTAATCACAGCACTTGGGAGGCAGAGCCAGGCGGATCTCTGTGAGTTCAAGGCCAGCCTGTTCTACAGAGCAAGTTTCAGGACAGACTCCAAAGCTACACAGAGAAACCCTGTCTCCAAAAACAAAAACAAACAAACAAACAAAAAGAACCGGGTGGCACAATCTGCTTTATGGCTGGACAATATTATGCTGCTGTCCTTGACTGTAGGGACATGAGGTAAAGAGTGAGAAGAAAGTGTGTGTGAAACCTTCAAAATCCAACGGAAGACTACTGCACTAGTCCAGGCAAAATCCCATGCTACCCCAGGTGAAGAAGGTCTTTGAAAGGATGAGAATAAATACAGACAAAAGTATATTTGTGATAGATTATGCAAGAAATGTTCATGTCTTTTTCGTTAAGGATAAAGAAAATGGAGAAAGAAGAATAATTATTAGGTTTTGAGCTCGAGCAAGATGTTTAGAAGGAGAAATTAGAGAGGACTCAGAAGACTAACAATGATGGGTACAAGGTGGTAGAACAGCAAGTTTCATTCTGGACATATTTTTAATGAAATGGTAGTGTAATATAGTCTAAGACAGAAAATCCATGTAATTAATAGCAAAAAAAAAAAAAAAAAAAAGGTTGGTGCCTTTTCAGTTGGTGGATACCAGATTCTATTGATCTGAACTTTTTCTATACCAAAGGATCTGGCAATTTCCCCTGTCTTTGAATGAATAATGTCCAACAAGTTCTTCTTATACCTCAACAAGAAAATTGTCAGCTATGAGTACTTTCTCTAGCTTAAGTCTCACACAGAAGGTAATGGGTCCACAAGAGAACATGGACCGTGGCCACTCTTCCCGAGACAGAGATGGACTTCAATTACCTTTATTAAATTTACACCCTGCTGTTTTGCTTTCATGCATTTTGCTGAATGAATAACTTATTTCAATGGTGAGTCACTGTGTGATTCTAAGAATGGTGTTTTGAAGAAATCTTAAATGGTAATTAACTAAACATGCATAGTGCCAACAATGTATGGCATGAAGTAAAGGGAATGCAACCAGGTTTGAGCTTGCACAGGAACAGCAGCTGAGCCTCTGCTTGAGACAGATAGTGATTTCAAAATGCCAGCCGTCATGAGTTCATCCCAGCTTCAAACAAATAGCAACTTTAAAAATGTGGGTAAAAGAAGCAGATGAAATGACATTTTATTTGAGATGCTTTTATAGATCTGGACTGCACACGCAAGACCCTGTCTGGAGGCATGAATCTGGCCACCACCAGTATGTCATGGCTACTAGGAACCAAAAGAGTGGATGAGAACTGCCAGAAGAGTGAATTGGTCCAGGAAAAGCCTGAGAACCAAGCTGGATGCAGAGACCGGACTGAGGGCAAGAAGGCAAGAAAAGATTGAGAAAGAAGTGATTGAGAAGTAGGAAGGAAGTCAGCAGAGTGTGGTGTCAGGGAGGCCAAGAGGGGAATTTTTACAGAAGGAAGAATGGGTCATCCATGTCAAGTGCTCCTGAGAGGTAGGCTGGAAATTGACCACATTGTTTGACAATAAAACTGTCGCCAGTGACTCTGATGCGCTCAGTTGTAGTGAAGTGTCGTGGCCCAGTGCCAAACTGGAGAGTTGAGCTGTAAGAGTTGAAAAGTCAAGATAATAAATAGAGATCATTTTTGGAGCTACTTCACTGGGACGGGGAGCAGACAGATGTGTCTGTGGCTGAAGGGGGCTATGAGGTCGTGAGAGGTTGCTGGTGTTACAGTTGTTTTAAAGATGGAGAGACAAGTGGGTCTGTGTACTGATGGAAATGATTCAGTGGAGAGGGGAAAGGAAATGTTGTTGAAGAAAAAAAAAAAGAAGGTAATTGAGGGATTGAACTCCGTGAGGGGAGAGAGAGCATGGGCTCCAGAACATAAATTGAGGACCCGAACTCTAAAATGAGAAAGGGATATTTTTCCCATTACAACCAGAGTGCCTTATAGGTTCCCAAATGAGAAATAGGTATTGGGAGATGTGGGGGCCAGGAGATGAGTCAACTCCCAATTGCTTCTATTTCCTCAACGAAATAGGAACCACTCACCTCAAATGGGAAAAAGGAAATTTTGAGAAGGTTATAAAAATTTTGAGGAAAAGAGGGAAGAGAGAATGAGGATTCTTAAGGAAAAAAAATACATACCTGCCAGGAATGCACTGTAGGAGGCCTTGGCAGTTGGAAATGCCTATCGACAACATACTACTTTGGACTTAAAGTGACACTGGACTACATCTCTCGCTCTTTTTTTTTCCTCCCAGCAATGTCCAGCTCTACAGTGACAGGCAGAGAAAGTGTCTAAGTGGTTTTAGTCTGTCTTGAGGTCCAGAGAGGGTGAAGAAGTTCTCACGAAAGGAGAGAGAATGGGGGAGTGGAGAAAGCTTGCTGGACTGGACTAGGATATGTGTACCCATAAGCCATGTTCCTCCACAGAGAACGACAATCTAGGTGGTTTAGCAACCCCAGAACTGAGAAGAAACAGTAATGGGATACTAGGCTTTTCCTTTTCTGCAGTCTAAGCCTTACTTGGAATTAAATGAGTTTTCACCTTCTTTAGTCCCCAAAGCCTAATGAAAAGCAGCTGCTTGCCATCCATGTGGAGAAACCTTTAATTGTGAACTTACATTAAGCCACCCCTTAAATTTCTCTCTTCTGATGAACAGCCCTATTTCCTGTGACAGTTCTCACAGGCCCTATAATATGGCCCTTTGATCATTTCCAGTGAGTACTTTGGGGTGCTATAGAAAGTGCCATAAAAGTTTAATGGGGAGTCTTATAAGGCTCAATAGTACTAATATGGCCAGAGGATATCCCACCTTGCCTATATTTTTCACCTTGGGTTATATGCTTTGTTTTAATGAATACTTTTTTTTTGATAGATATCAGCATTCTATGGCCAGCCAGCTTCTTCTTGTTCCTGGTTGTTCCTGATGAATTTTCCATCCAATCTGAGCAGGTACTTGCATCTAGCTTACCCCTGCCCTTGTCAGCTAGGGCAGTACTTCTGTAGCTGCCTTTGTTACAGCCCCACTTCTATGGGCAGCTCCACAGCAGCCTGTGCTCACTTAGTTTCTTATTTCTTCAACCATTGCTTGGTTGTTCCTCCTACAATACTCCATTTAGCCACTGGGCCACAAGAACCATTTAGTTCTATTTCCCAGTCTACCTCTGCCGGGAAGAAGACATGATCTCTATTGACCACTTTCCCCTAAACACCTCACTACAAGCTACTGATGCTCTAGATATACAACTCAGCTTTGTACGAGAGATCATGATTGATAAATGCAGATCCTCCATTCTCCTATTTGGAGGCATGACTTATAATATCCCCGGTGTTGTTCTGTGCTCTATACATATAACACACTCTGGGAAGCCTCATGCCCCAGCCCTTCCAGGTCAATAAGACCTTCTGCCCAGTTCCTGCCAATCATCCAGGAAGTATCTGAGAATAACTCCCAGCTCACAAGAACCTCATGTGTGGATAATGTTGATGATAACCAACAGTCTCTCAGATATCACACTTGTCATCGTCACTGCTTAGCTCTTCCTGAGGGGAGCACCTGCTTTCAAAAATACCTCATAGCCAAGGTCCTAATGCAAACAGTGATGAGGATTACTCTGAGGAGTAAAGAATGTTTCTGATGGGAATTAGTTCCAATTGTCCCAATCAGAATCTCCCATGCAAACTTGTAATGACCTTGGAAAAGAGAGGCACACTGGTGGACATTAAGGACATCTGATGAAAGATGAAGAGAGAAGTAACCACTCATGATGCATCATTGTATCAGACATGAAATGCAGTGTTTCTATGTACTGAAAACCTACTGCATATCAAACACATGTTACATTATTCACCCTCGTAACAGTATTGAGAAATGGCCCCGCTTACTGAGGTGAGATAGCTTACAGGGTCTCATTTTTAGCAGAAGCCCTGTTTTCAATCCTCATGGTTTTTAATATCTACATTAAAATATATAGTATTTTTATAGTGTAGTATATTTAATGTGTAAATTGAAAATACTGTATATTTTTATTATTAACACTATTCCAAACATGCACATGATATATTTTAATCATAGTCATTCTTATTTTTTCCCTCCAACTCCTCCGAGACTCATTCAAGTCCCCTCCCTACTTTTTTTATTTGTTTTGTTTTGAGACAAAGTTCCTCTGTGTAATAGTCCTGGCTATCCTGGAACTTGCTTAGTAGACCAGGCTGGCCTCGAACTCACTGAGATCCACCTGCTTCTGCCTCCCAAGTGCTGAGGTTAAAGGTGTGCACCACCATCACCACCACCCAGGTACCCTCTCTCTTCTTTACATCATAAAAAAAGAAAAAAGAAAAAAAAAACCCACTGAGTACACTTAATGCTGTCCATATGTGTGGCTGTGGGGCCAACAGGGACTATGCCCCTAAAGATAGCTAACTCTGTGTCCCCTCGTGGCTAGCAGCTGTCAATAGCTCCTACACTAGGGGTAGGGGCTCATCAAGGTGGGGGCTCATCAAAGCTCATGTTTTCATCAAAGAACAGAAGAAGAAACACTGCGGTAACTCATCCTGGACAAACCCACCTACCTCCTTAGGTGCAGAAGACATCTGATGGGATTAGACGTCCAGTGTCAACAAGCTTGGAGCTCCTCCGCAAGTGCACAGCAGTGGGCGATGCTAATTCTCTGCCTCTGTGCTCTGCCTTTCTGTCTGCCCACCTCTTTTTTCTTTTCTTTCCTTCCTTCTTTTTTT